TTGGGGCCTAAACAACATCAAACCCCATTCACTTTCATTGTATGAAAAAAAAGAAAACTGCCTGAGACATTTTTCAAAATATCTTCTTTTGTGTTATGCAAAAGATGGAAAGTCATAAAGGTTTGGAATGACTTGAAGACAGAATTTGTCAATGTTAAAGTCAGTTTATATGCGGAGACGGCAATAAGTATTTTTTCCCCCAAAAAAAGTTTAACCTGGCAGACAGGGTAACAATAGCTCAACCAATAAAGCGCTGCAGTGATGTATTTTTGGTGGCCAACCCGAAAGTTTGCATCATCTTGCTTCCCTCAACAAAAACACCTTGCTTTTGGATTATTGCTGAAAATAGGCTCTGTGACCGACAAAAGTTTATGATTCTTACATGCTTTATTCAACATAATAATCTTCAGAAATGGACAAAATTTTATGAATTTTGAAACCTAAATATAATCATCAAAAGTAAAAAGCTAAAAATACACCATGGTCACATGACTTCAACTTCACTATTAACCTTCCAACAACTCTTTCATTCTTTATAATAAAAAAGTTTGAGTTAGAATAGTTTGCAAGAGTGAAATTATAAACACAACAAGGCTGTTAAAGTGACTAGTGAGTTTTCCTGTTCATCATGATGATGTTTAATGTAGTCCCATTTAGCCACTTGTTAGCAAATGCCTTTATCAAGACAAGTAAAAGCTTAAAAAATTACAGAGGTTTTTACTGATGCATTATGTTGTAGAATAAAACGCGTAAATATCTTGAGCTTGTATTAATCGCAGACTTTATTTCAGGCATTTAAACAAAAACCCATTGACTTCAGGACAATGGAACTGGAAGTGGTAAAATGCCATTTTTTTTAGGTTTAGGCCTACAAAAAACATGCCATCTCTGCAGCACTCTTACTATAGCATCCATTTAGGGTGGGACTGTCAGTTTGACTGACCTATGTCAGGCAGGGAGAGTTCTGAAAATCAGTTTGAAAAGTCAAAATTGCAGTTCCATTGTGGCGCAGAAATGACACATTTCACCTTTAATTAAATCATGACGTCACTTGGCAGTGTTTGACATTCTTTATGACATCACAATGTGTGTGTATCCCAAGGCTGTGTGAGGTAATGGCTTCCTGACTGACAGGTCTGGTTTAGATGTAGCATTTGATGTACTTGTGAGATACTCACAGTGTGGGTCTCATGAAGTGGCCAGTTTAAGGGCTTTGCCGCACGTTGGGGTGCATGTAAAGATTCATGTGGGCTGTTTGTAGTGTGATATAACTACCCCCTTGTAATTATTTATTATGTTATATTTATTCATTGTAAATTTATTTTCTCCTTTTGGAGCCAATATTGCGTGAAGACGCTTGTAAAAGATGACTACATTTGACCCTTGATTAGTTTAACCTGCACCATTGTTGTTTTTTTTAACTCTCTTAACTGAGGAGCTGATGGTTGATTAATGGATCCAGGGATATATCGGATGTTGGAAAATACAGTGTCTTAACACGGGACAGGGTATGGGACATTGTAATTGTATGCGCACAAGCGAGGAAGGAAGACTGCAAGTTGAGTCTGAGTATGCAAAACAGTAACGAAGAGGAAAAACATTTCGGACTGAAAGCAATGCCCTCATTTTCTCTATTCAATGGACCACAAAGCCTCTATGTGTTTCTATGTGCCTGCAGAAAATTCAACCTGGACTGAATATTGAGCAGCAGGACTGCAAACAACACAACATGAACCTCCCTGCCTCTTCATCTGAATCGCTGTAGCGAATCGAAATGTCTCAATCCTGGAAACCTGTCACTTTTGAAGAAGATAATTGTTCTTGAGCCACCAAATAGGACTCTGAAAATTAACGGTACAAACTTTGAGCAAGTGCAAGTAGATTTTGATAGTCCTGTTGTAAAGCATGAGGACATTAAAGTGAGAGAATGAGCTTTTGGCTCTTTTATGCTTTATGGATGTGGAATGATGTAAGAGCTGCAATTTTATACATTCTTAGTAATGGCTTTCTTAAAGGGACCTCTATAGCCTACTTTTCGCTTTGGCTGTTGTGCTAATATGATTTTTCCCATTTAGGGTAGAACTCAGATGCTGTTGTAATAAAAGATTGTGATGATTATTTCACTATCTCCGCCTGCGTAGAAGGAGTCTGTGTGTTTCATCTCATTTAAAGTCCTTATTTCTGCCACACAGGTTAGCAGATGCTCTTTTGCATCTTTTAAGTGTTGCATTAATCATTTCTTACAGAAAAGCACTGGTACATCTTTCTTCTCATATCTAATGTCTTTATTTTAATGCAAAATCATAGATTTTCTTGGAAAATTCTATTACACACATTATTATCAAGCAGGTATTACCAATTAACATCTAAGGCATCAAATCTTCAAATCAACGTGAAACGGCAACCCATTTTACTTCCGCTTTGTGACATTGGTTGAAAACAAAGTCATTTTAGAGGAAGCAGGTCTCCTTTGAGATCACATGCACTGAATAATCACCCACGATAAGACAAGGAATATGTTCTCAAAGAGTTTTTGTTTTAATTTTGACAAGTTTAAAATGTCAATGAGTCCTAAAACCTAGAAACAATTCAGTATTTTTACACCTTTATTTTTTGAACAAGTTTTTGGTTAAATACCTGAAATAAGGTCTGTAGTTAAAGCAAGCTCAAGATATTTTCACTTTTTATTCGGCAATATAAATACATCATGATATTTGTTAAAGCTTCTTCTCATCTTGAAAAAGGCATTTGCTAACAAATGGTAAATAGGACTACAGAGGTTGTTGGCGACATTAAACATAATCATACATCATAAACAGGTAAAGTCATCTACTCACAATCTTTATTTTAAATAAAGTTCGAAAGAGTCGCCAGAAGCTTAGTGGTATAGTTCATTCATAGCCTAACTTCAGTTTTTAGGCTTCACAGTTCATGAAATGTGTGCTTAGTGAAGATTTATCCTGATAATTTCAATTTCGATATTTCTAGAAAATATAGCCTCAGGTGTAGGCCAGACCTGATAACACATTTACAACCTGTGTAGCCAACCATTTGCATATTATACAAGTGTTTTCTAATTCTATCCCAAGTACATTGCCTGGAATAGACTTTAGAACCTAAAGTGAGAACATTGGTATTGATGGCTTTCAGTAGTTTTACAGTATTTAAAGTTTGTTGGGCAGCTCTTTAATTTCCAGTGAAGTCCAAATAATAGTTTTGTGGCTTTTAGTCTCTGTCTGTTAATACTGAAGTCATTTGAAAGCTAGATGCTGTTGCTTATTCTAAGCAAACTAAACATTGCAATATGAAGAAGCATGTCTCATGGTTCTCAACTGACATAAACAATAGAAAAAGATTGTTCTGTTCTGCTATTTCAATTGAAAACACATGGGTTAAAATTGGTTATTTTAAAGCAATTTGAATTTTTAGAGAACTATTAGTTTCATGTTTGCATGTTCTGTACTAGCTTGCCACTTTGAACGGATAATTAACCCAAAAATGAAAATGGTCAGCATTAACTCGCCCTCATGTGGTTTCAAACCTGTATGACTTTTTGTGGTTCACAAAAGATAATTCAATGGGGTCCAAATAACTTTAATGACAGTTTTGTAATTTTTGGGTCATCTATTCCTTTAAAATGCCACTGGAACGGAGCTCATTCAACAACACAAAAAACAATCATTGTCATGGAGGAATGGATGATTTATTGCAATTAGTCATTTTCAGACACAAAGGCTTTCCAACTCAAGAACAACATACGTACCTGTACAAAAACACACTTGTTACCAAGAAACGTAAATCTGAATAAAGTTGTGAGAACACGCAAACAGCCAAGGGAACAAACAGAGGATGCAGAGGAGGAACGTTGTGGCAATGAAGAAAAGTGGAACACGATGGGATTTCTAAGCAATTTAAGCACCATATTCATGTTATAGGAAAGGCTGAACAGAATACCTTCGAATGTATGACTTAAGTTTAACATGGGTACACACATGAGAATAATCACAGTATTTTTTCATTAGACATTTTTAACCAACTAAAGAAAATAACAGTTGGTGCACTACTTAGTCATCATGCAATTTAATTTAGTAAACCTTCTGTAACACAGACAAAATAGACTTCAATATGTAGAAGAACTTCATAGATTTCTGCCAAACAGCAATTGTCACAAAGCCTGGAAAGTAATTATAGAATCTTTGAATGTGAGGTCACCTATCAAAAATAATATGCTGATTTTTTTAAATTTTCTTTATATATTTAAAGTGCAAGTATTTTATCCATTTGATTCAATGCTTTCTGTAAGTATAAAATACAAAGGGGGGGAAAAAACAGCAATATGCTTTTTCCTATATATATTTCCTATGCATATAGGAACAAATATATAGGAATCATATACATCTTTATATATATTTTATATATATATATATATATATATATATGCTATCTTTTTTAATAAAGAGGAGCATCATATGTAACAAACCATATATACACACACATCACAGGTCATATATATATTTTTAAGTACAACACATTTGATAGGGAATAAAAAGGAAATGGTTGGTGGGATGTGAATACCCTCCTTGTGCATTGACCCTCGATGCAGGACCCCTCCCAGACAGTCTGCTTAATACGTAAAATGCTCACAGATACATGCTAAGCAGGTCAAAGCCTTGAGCTTGTGAGACCGAAGGAAAGTGAAGTATGAGAACTAATCCAAGTTGGTGACTGGCCGTGGTTTAAAAGGGAAGGGGACGTATAATGGCACACACACACACACGCTTCAAGAGATTCACACATAGATCAAGTTAAAAGGTTGCGATTCGCTCTTCGTATTGAAAACCGCAGATGCGTGAGGGCTTTAAGGTGTCTGTGCAGCTCCATTAGTTCAGTTCTGCTCATTAAGGACAGGTGATGCTTCGAATCAGCACCTGGAATTGGAGTAAAAGACTGAAATTGCTATTCCAGTCCAGCATGGAGTCGGAGTACCATCTAATTTTTTATTTTTTTTGGTCCCCACAGGCTGTTGTGCATCCAACCAATACTCGTCTTTGCTGGTGGAGAGCTCGAACACTATTAAATGAGAAAGATTTCGGCTGAACGATGCCACCCGGACAGGATTGAGCCATTTAATACCCAATAGCACCTTTACGATTGACTTAAAACATGTGCGTATTCGATCGAGGGCTTCGAGGGTGTGTTTTTGCATCACTAGAAAACACCCTTAAATGTTACTTCCAGTTTAGATTTCGCACAGTGGCACACATCGAACAGTTTTCATAATCGGATCTGGGCAGTGACAGGAAAAAGATTTGCTTACCGGTCTCAAGAGGAAAAGAAATATAACTGTGTACAAACAGAGCTAAAATAGTCCCTACAAGAGAAGCATGCTGTTTCAGATTCAGTCTTGACGAGATGTGAGGGCAAATCGAGCGAGACAAAGTGCGTATGTATGCTTTAATATTGTGCAGTGGTAAACAAGAGACCAAACGCTCTGCAGGAATAATGTCTGCCTTGATCCCCTATAGACTTCCTCATATGCTTAGCACGAAATGGGCCTTTAGCATGGGGGTCTGTGGCTAGAAACCCCCAAACTGTCCGTGGGCTGGAGGCTTCAGTAGATATGAAGGTCTCGTTTTAACAAAACCCCACATATCTGAGTATTTGTGATGTTTGGGTCTGACAGCAACAGGCTTTTACCTGCAATACTAGTGAGCTGGCTTATGTCAAGAGAGGGACTGAGAAAAAACGTCTTTATCTTTTTTCCTAACAACATTGACAAAATATTTTATCAAATAAATAGTTATGAATATCTCTGACTGAAGCATTGCGCATTAAACATTGGCAAAAAAAAAAAAATATATATATATATATATATTAGCAACTGAATATCAAACCACCAAGAAGCTTTTGAAGTGACTACATAACTATATTTTTAGGTCACACAGGACTGTGTCTGATTGGCGGAGAGCAGATTTGCCGCCGTATACGCAGGTGCTTTCAGACGGCCCCTGTTTGTGGTGACCGGTTATGTTACTAGAATAAACCCTCAACTTTGACTTCGGCAGTCAAAAAGGTTAGTTTAATATGCAGAAAAATGTTTAAATTAGAACGATTCTCATGCATACATTTTTGTCGTTGCAGGGGACAAGTATCCACACACATAGAATGCCGATGATGCGCGACATTCAATCATCCCGCAGAATCCGATCCCCCTTGGACCCCAAGAGGCAGCCATCAGTAATGCCTGTTCAAAAACATTGCATTATTGTTTTCTACTCAATTTAGCATTTCTGGTAATGCTTTGTAGTGTTGAAGTTGAGTTAACATTCTAATCAGCTGGATTGTACAATTTAATTAACAAAAAAAGAATGACAAATGTTTAATTTGACTATTTGTAGCTTCGGTTACATATGTGAAACTTTAAAAGACAGTGTCATCTTTTCATAGTTATCACAACATCATTCAGCGATTTTGTAGGATTTCCAATCAGACATTGAACAGAGTACCTATTATAAGATCTTTCAGGAAATAGTTTTGCTTTGGGGGTCCAAAGGGGGACATGAACCTGCGGCGGGACTGAATTTGGGGCAACGCCGCCATTGGCACGCAGCCTATTGCACAAGATACTAAAATGTTAGCACTGTAACTTTAGTGAGAAAAGTAAAATCTCAAGGTGCGATGTGACGAGGTTGACAACAAACGAATTCAGCAACTGATAAGACTGGCAGAAGAAATCCCACGAGCGGGGATATTAGCACCATACAAAAAAATCATACAGGCTACTGCCTCGGCCAAAAGTCTACTAATATAGGCCCACATTAGCATAACGCTGGGCTGTAGCGAGAAACGTACATATAAAGTTATCACACAGTTTTAAGCTTTTTTTATTTAATTTTTTAAACCTGTTACTTTTTTAATTAACTTATATGTTTTTACACAGAGCACGAGGAGCAGACCTCCACCGTCTTTAGGTGACTACTGCTGCGTTCACGTCACGCCAGAACTACAGAAATGTTGATGAAAATGTATGTCTTTGTCATAATTAAAAAAATGTCACAAAGACTGGCATCAACGACAAAACCGCACATAGATCGATGTCGCTTTTGAGCACTGCCACGGAGAACCAAAGTAATTCGGATATGACGTGAACGCAGCACATCCATGTTTACGTCAGCGCTGTTTGATTATGACATTGTTCTTTCCCCAGCAACGTGGAGGGCCGAGAGCCCCACGCGCCTTTCTTTGATTGGCTTGTCGAAGTCATCGAAGAAGCTCCAAGAGTGGTACGGCAACTACGCTGTTGTCACCCCGAACGACAAAGAAAGACAAACAGCGATCGGAAAGAAAATGATCGGACACGTAAAGCATGTAAACGTGTGGAGAATATAAGGCACCAGAGTTGTTTTTTGACGTTGTAGAGGATGCTCCGCGCAGGTATTAACACAACTCGCACTAGTGGACAGCTCCTTTTTGAGTACCTGCCCCCCTCCCACCCTGTCCCCAAAAACGAAATAAAGAAAAATTCCCACAGAAAACGTGGGCAATTTCATAAGGATCTAAGTACATCTGATTCACAAAATCATAGTTTGTATATCTACGTTAGCACTTCAATGAGACGTCTGTCCAAATGTCAGTGGGCAACGGTGCAACAGGGTTTGTATTTAACAGGAACAAACGTCAACCGGTTGTTTTAGCAATGCCTTCGCTGTGCGGCTACCGAAGCACACATTGCATGACGCGTGCAAACAAACAATCTCATTTGCTTTGTGTATAGAGTTTAAAAGGCAAACGAGTAAACATATCTAGATCTCCTCATATGCATTTCAAGGTGCACTCGGTCATTTTGGGTTTATGTGAGACATGAAGCTTCTTTTGCCATGATAAATGTATTCTGCAAATGAAAGTGACTAATAACATTGAGTTTATGTTGATAATTTGGCTGGTCATGTGATCTCAACATGGTGGACCCCATGATGCAACCAGGCGAAAAAATGCTTAAATAATGAAAACTGACCAAGTGCACCTTTTAAGTCGAACCAGAAGGGGTGACATCCATTTATATAAATTGAATAATCTAACAATAGTGCATGTTAAAATATTCACAGCACTGCCGCATCACTGTTTCTTCACTCCTGGTGTTCGTTTGCATGTTGAACCTTTGGTTCAAACGGTTCCTAAAGAATAGCTTTTGTGCTGGAAGTCAAAAGTGAGCCCCAATTATATATTTCTTTCTTCTTTTTCAATTTGCACCTTTGGAAATAGTATTATACTGCAAAAAAATGTCCATCATTGTTTCCCAGTCAAATTCACGGCATCCTTAAAATAATTTACTTGACAAACAGAACTGTACAAGTTCGAGTGGGGTCAGATGCTCTAACAGGCAACAAGCCACCATGACGGCACTCACTTTGCACGCTCTCGTTAAAACCCCCAGTGTGCATGCTGAATATGAACAGCATTTTCACGCCACTTTGTACTTTTTTTTAATTAAGTACATTTTAAAATCTGCAAAAAAAACATTAGGTCATCAGTTTTTACACTTGAAGCGGCCGCTGTCAAGTTGGCAGCATGATTGACTGGTGTCAGAGCTGAAGTGTTCAGAAAGCAGATCGAATCGTATTGGTTTTATATTACGTGTCATTTTTCCCATTGACTAGGTATGTTCTTTTATTTCTAGTATTGACATTCTTTGCTGTGTGTCAGGAGTGGTCTGACTAAAACTGTATATATAAATATATGGTTTTCAGGATGTTTAGATATTTGTACTGGAAAACAAGAGGATTTTTTGCAGTGCATACGAGCTTGAATGTGTCACACACGTGGGTAAAGAGGGATATACACACACTCCTGCACCATCCTGGACACGGTTCATACATCATGTTGTCGATAGCAGCGTCTTACTGTTAAATGGTGGGTAAGTGGGTAACTTCCGGCGATGAGTGAAGAGATGCAACTGTTTGAGTCTGTGAGGGTTGTGTGAGTGTGTGTGTAGATCGATTCCACATTACAGTAACGTCTGATTATCATGTCATTTGTCCTGTGCGCACAGGTATGCATTAGTCCTCGTCCCCGTCGTCCCCGTGCAGGCCCTCCGGTTGCATCTCGCGCTCCCTCCGCTCTCGGCTTCGCTCCTGGATCTTCTTCATCTCGTCCGCGTACTTGCAGAAGGTTGCGCCGAATTTGGACCAGACTTTGCAGGGCACCGTGATGGAGTTGCGGTAGGTGGGCTTCACCTCGCTGACCCGCATGAAGACGCCGTACTTGTTGGAGCCCACGTCGAAGAAGAAGCGCTTGTTGTCCACGGTCAACGACGTGCCCTCGGGCAGCTCCGCGGGGTCCTCGTCCACGCCGAAGTCGTCGATGAGTTTGGCCAACGCGTCGCGGAACTCGATGAGTCCCTGTGCAGGAAGAGCGATGGTCTGGCCTTGCGAGGTTCCCATGCCGGGCCCGCGATTGACGGTCTGCCGGATTCGCAGAAACCGCCCCCTCTGGTTCTCCTTCAGATCCATGTAGTACTTCCGATTCTCCCGCACCAGGAATTCGCTCTTAAGCGCCCTCCTGGGCTCGTCCTGCACCGTGTCAGGGTTGCTGGGGCCCAGCTGGGCGTAGTGTTCGATGAAGTCTCCTAGGTAGTCGCGGAACTCCACGGCGACGGACATGGAGAGAGTCAGGCGGCTCTTGTTTCCCCCGGCCCCGACCTCTGCTATCTTCAGAAAGCGGCCTTTGGCGTTCTGCTTCACGTCCAGATAGAAGCGTTTGTTCTGAATGTCCACCCGCTTCGAGGCGAGCTCCTCCGTGTCGTGCTGGAGCCGCGATGCGGCGCCCGGGTGCATCGGGCCAGGGCCGGGGCCGGGGCCGGGGCCGGGGCCGGGGCCTGTGGCGAATCCACCTTGCTCACTTCCACTGTCTCTGTCCGCCATGATGCAGCCTCCCCGCTTACCTTCTCTCTCCGTCTCCCTCAGCCCTGCTGCAAAAGCGACTGGTGCTGAGCGACCGCGGAGCTCTCGCGAGATCTGCTGCCAGAGACGCTTCCTGAAGGTGGAGACGACAACCTCCGCGTTCAGCGGTCAACTTGGATCAGGTAAGCAGCAAAGGACACAACCAAGGAAAAAGACAGTAAACAAAATATTCTTTGAGGCTTACTATACATGACATTCTGAAATGAACTAAAACGTATTATATTATTCTTATAACACCACTGTATTGTTTTAAAAGCAATTGAATGTTTAGTTAGCCTATATAAATGATTCAAATCAACATCTTTATTGAAAACAAAAATATTTTTAATTACATTAATGACTGTATAATTTACAAGGAATGTAATAAAATAATAAAAAACTTAAAGGGTTAGTTCACCCAAAAATGAAAATTCTGTCATCATTTACTCACCCTCATGTCGTTCCAAACCTGTATGAGTTGGTTTCTTATGTTAAACATAAAAGAAGATATTTTGAAGATTGCTGGTAATTAAACAGTTGGTGGTTGCCATTGACTTCCATAGTATTTCTTTTCCTACTATTGAAGTCAATGGCAACCACCAACTGTTTGATTACCAGCAATTTTCAAAATATCTTCTTTTATGTTTAACATAAGAAACCAACTCATACAGGTTTGGAACGACATGAGGGTGAGTAAATGATGACAGAATTTTCATTTTTGGGTGAACTATCCCTTTAATATGAAAGGGTCTATTTTCAAAGAGTCACTACAAAACACAAGTTTTATGACATTCTGTAACCATTTGTGGATTCCGATGTATAAACCTTGCTGTCATAAAATTGCAGTCTCTTTTTTTGTTGGAGACTCCAGGTGTAGATGCATGTCGAAGTTTAGCTGCTCGTTTATTTTGTGTCAGGATGTTTCCACAGATAAGCGGTTTGTTCAACGTACTGAAGTATCAACCGCTCCACTGACATCCATTCACACAGAATGGTCTTATACACGTTGCGCATTTATTTTATTTTATAATTTTTTTTTAGCTCATCTTGAAGTCTCCGTCTGGTGGAGGGTCTCTATTTCTGCAGTCCGCGATATTCTTCAGATCAGGAGTGTGTTGGTAAAAGTCATATCAGCGTTACGATTGCGCACAAAGCAGTAAACTTCTTAAGTCATTTGGATCTTTTTTGCCATTCTTTGGAAGTTGTTGTTGTTGTTGTTTTTATTTTCTTTTTGTCTGTGTCCATCACAAGGTGTAGATCAGGGGTGGGCAAACTTGGCCCTTCCAGGTCACTTTCCTTCAGAGGTTAGCTCCAACTCTAATCAAACACACCTGAACCAGCTAATCATTGTCTTCAAGACTACTAGAAGGCTACAGGCAGGTGAGTTTTATCAGGGTTGGATCAAATCTTTGCAGGAAAGTGGCCTGGAAGGGCCAAGTTTGCCCATCACTGGTGTAGATTATCTCTCATATTACCATGACTCGTGTGCATGTGATTAATAATTGTATGTGTGTGAAAGGGAGACAGAGAAAGGGAAACTCGAAAGAATAGGCTAATAAATGTCAACATGTTTTATTGCTGTTAGATATTTTCACAATTATCTTGCATTTATCTTATTACATTATTTTTGTATAAGTTTGTGTAATTGGCAATAATACGCTGTAAATTAGTTGTAAAATTACATTATCACAGACAAAATGCAAGGACTTAGTAATTGTAACGATATGGACTAATAGACGCACATATCTATTTGCTTTGCTGTTCAGCACCACGGACAGCGACAGCGCCGCGCCCACCGTAGAGACGGTCAACAAGCTTTATTATGAGTGAGTGAATGAATTCTGAGGCTGCTGCTCATTAAATGCTTTGAGGACGCCGAAAAGCAAGAGTAGAAGTTATATATATATATATATTATATCATTTATTAATTATATAATAAAGACATGATAAAAAGAAGCCGTATTTTAACATTCTAATAGAAAACACGTGAACGCATTCTCAGAAATTTAATATTTTAATTCATGTCGGTTCTATACATTTTAAAATCGTTTACACCACTTTGAATTTATAAATAGCAATGATTTCAAACATATTTTATATGATGAGGGTCCTCTATGTTTTATGATTTTCTTGTCACAAGACAACAATGGCTCCTGCAAGGGTGGTTATGCCACATGTTCAAATATTAATAATATTGTTAAACAAGATTGTATAAAAGTAATTTTGATCATTTTCAGACGCTTTTTTATTTTATATTTGACCCTTTTATGAAAAGACACGTTTTGTTAAGCTCAAATAGAGTAAATTCTTGGTTTTGTTCACTTAAAGATAAATAATAAATATTATTTTAAATAAATATGATTAAAGTATTTAAAAATAAATACAATTAAATAAATAATATTGATATTAAATATTAAAAACATTAATAATAAAAAATAAAAATACTGCGAAAATAAAAATTTTTGACAATAATAATGTAGTTCAAGATCGAGTATTTCAGTACTTTTTATTTAGTGATGACCGTCATTCATAATTTTTCTGACGAAAAGGGTAAGCCTATCAACTTTTTTCAGAAATCCAAAGTGAATACAAAGATTACATTAAAAAAAAACTAACTAGATTTTTAACTAGATTTTTATCATCTCGAATATTCTTATTCGTCATTGACACAGTAAAGCAAACGTGAAAACAATATCGACCTGATTCTGAAGCGAGACAGGTGTTCGCAGCGCATTTCTCTATTGCGTTACACACTCGCGTTGTGACTGCAGATGTCGCCCTACAGCAGCCTCAGGACAGGACGGCAATGGCACATTCATTCTCTCGCGACGCATTTACGCATGATGTAACCCCAATATTCAAGTTAAAAACCCAGTCCAAAACCGTGCACCAAACAATCCTCAAGACTGTGGCGAATCATTCTGTTCATTTAGTTTGACTTGTCATGACGGCGCAATGACCGGTCCCCTCCTCTCATTATAGAGCCCTGGGTACATGACAAATACCCGCAGGACCTGTTGCCGGGGTAAATATGGCTGAAAGGATGGTCGGTGGTTTGCTGTGTATCTGTCTTCTTGGCGCTTGGCGGATCGCTTTTTGGGGCAAAATGGTGAATGTGACCTGAATGCGGAGTGTTCTCGAGTAGAAAATCACGGCAAACGCACTTTTCACAAGGCATTGATTGCATTTCCAGCTGCTTTTCGCAGCGTTAGTCATCGCGTCAGCGGTCTGCCGCGGTGGCCCGACTGCCGTTTCTCTATTAGTTGATGTCGCGCGGCGTATTAACACGATTTACGCACATTTACGCCGGCAGGCCTCTTGCTTTCGAGGGATTTCTTTCTACGGCTGGTTGGCCGGTCGGACGCTTCCGTGTCATTAGTGCATTTGCGCCCGAACTTTCAACAGACGGCTGAGATCTGCTCACGTAAAGCCGCCGAGCGGAGGGCGCGCGCTTGTTGCATCGCCCGACCGAACAGCAGCGCGTCGTTTCCGCGGCGGAGCGCGGTTTTGGACATTTTTCGCATCACCGCCGCTTTTGTGTGCACGAGCGAGGCGTCTTTCTGCCCGTCCGCGCGATGTTCCTGATGGTGATGATGACATTGGCTGGATAGATAGATAGCTAGCTAGAGAGAGAGAGCGCAAGAGATAGATAGAGAGAGAGGGAGTGTGTGCGAGAGGAGCGTCTTGCAGCAAAGGAGCGTCATTTATGCATGCATGCTTATTGAGTTTGGGGATTGTGCTTTGAAGGAGAATGCAGCAGCCCAGCAGTGACCGGGGCTGATTCCGGTTCCTCAGCAGCTGGTGTTTCCCCGTCACCAAGTGCATGGGGAAAGCGGTACACGCAGATGGCATGGACACTTGCGCAAGCCCATTCGCACTCAGTCCCCCAGCACCTTCTGCCCCGAGAGCACTGCAGCAGCGCCGCCGGCCGCCCCTGAGCCACAGCAGACGGCATGAGGAGGCTTGATCCGGTGCATTTCTCCATGCTCATCATCGGGGTCTCCTTCGCCTGCTACGCCCCGAGTTTGGATTCGCTGCAGGACCAGGCATACCGATCGGCCGTGGTGATCGAAGGCGAGGTGAGCTCGCTTCCCGAGAACGTCTCCGTGGAGCCCTACAGTGTGAATGTCAAAGTACTGGACGTGTGGCCGGTGAACAGCGGCGGGCTGGAGCGCGAGCAGCTCGTCACCGTCGGGGAATTCGGCTCCGAGGCTCCGTGCGTGGCGGTGGAGAAACACCACAGATATATCTTTTTCATGGACCCTACGGAGGAGCCTTTAGTATTCAAAGCCTCGTTTGCTCCTCTGGACAGCACAGAGAAGACCCTCAAGAAAGATGTGGAGAGCATATTGTGTGAAGACTGCGGTAAGTTTTATTCACTGTGACTGTGGCTCTTCATTGTTAACGGATAACGGCTCGTTCTCGGAGAGCATCACAACGTTGCGTTTCGCTCTAGAGGAGAACGGGAAGATGGGTCGCTTGTGTTTGGGCGTCTCTGCAGTATTGTTCTAATCACCGTTATAAACATTTAGGTGTACACCAGTACACACACACACACACACACAAGCATGCAAGCACAGAGAGTGCGAGAGAGGCATTGACCACATCTGTGGCAAGCCCTTTAAACCTTTATTCTGTTAAACCACCGAGAGCTAATAGTGACTACTGCCTTCTTCACTTTCAGCAATTCAGTAGATGCTTATGTGTTCTGATAGACCTTTAAAAAAAGGAATTTATTGGAGATTTTTGGAGTATGTTTTGCAAGAGAATACTATTTCAGTCTTTCTACTGAACAGTTTATTGTTTAATTCAATGTGTTACTTGCCGTTTCTTTGTAATTATTTGTGAAAATGGTGTAAATCCTACACCATTTTTTGTGTGTAGGCTATCTACTCAATTACAGCTTTGGCTTTGCTTTGCACTGTCCCAATGGTGACATATATTGTACCATTGTTATTAGTAAAACATTTTACTATTATTTTATTTGAGGATCTGTGGTTTAGATATCAAATAGTTGCTTCCAACTAGTATGTATTTGCGGATTTTTGTTATACATATTCCAGTTTTGCTAGTAACTATTCTTCTTTTGTATCCCAATAGTTTCTAGTAACTTTTTCACCTCATTAGTTGGAATTGCATGTTTGACTTGTTTTCTGTCAATTGGTCATGTAATAATTACGTATTAGTAAGATTAAAAATGTTTTCTTTAAAAAATCTTATACACACTGACTAGGGTGTAATAAATCAGTAATACATTGTAAATCTTACACCAGCATTTTTTCCCCAGTGTCATGTCTATACAGCTAGTATTAGGAAAACTGTACTAAGACCAAATTAATTGTTACTGGTAACACTGGACTAGGTTCCAGCAACAAATGGAATACAGCATTAGTTTGAAGTTATTACTTGATATCTGAACCTCAGATCGCCACAGGAAACATTAACAAAAATGTGTTACCAATAGTAAATTGTCACTATTGAGATTAGTAGAATAGGAATAAATACTATTATCAAATAAACAAAAACATGTGACTATTAAGTGAATGGTTTCTAATTAGAAATAAGTTAGAAATAACACTAGAAACATTCAAACCCATACTAGTTAGAAATAAATGTTAAAACAGTTTGCCACGACCATCAGCTTGACATGCATTAAATGACCAATTATTCTGTACTCTCGGGCAACGGAGTTCAATCAATATAAAGCAATGTACATGAATCTTCAGGCTAAGAGTTATCCATGTTCATCTGAAACACGTGATTTCACATAATGCAGCATGATGTGCCACGATTCATGCAAGTTACTAACCTTCTCATGATGTTTAAAGTGTATGTAAGGTGAGAAGCATCAGATATTTCTTGGCCATTGGGATATGTGAAGTTTCGTGCCTTGGAAATGTGTGTGAAATAATGCGGACGGCTGTATATCAGTTAGCTTTGGGTTGGCATCAGGAAACCACGTGATGGGAAACTGGAAATCTGCTGGCTGTGGTTGGTTCAGGATCAGGTGGCAGTGGCAAGGCCCCTTACAGAAAGGGATTCCCATTCAAATGCAGATAAGCTCTGGCTTCACAGTCCTTCCCTATTATAATCTGACATATTGGTGAATGTTTTATAGCCTGCAATGCATGTACGTGATTTAATTTAACAAGACTTTTCATTTAATTATGTATTCATTGTATTATGTTTACATTTTATGAATTAGAAATGAGCATGGGCTCAGTGTGCTTTAAGAACAGTGAGACTGTTTGAAACAATAGCTGTGTTTTAGTGCAGAGATATGTTTTATTTCTTCAAATTGCTTGCAACTTGCCTTGTAAATCAGTTAATGCATTTCAAGTGACCTTCAGAGGAGGTGTGGTTCAAATTAAGGGTTTTGCATGGCACTAGATTGGTAGATTTGTTTTGTTGATAGATGTTAGCCTCAGCATTTTTACTTTTACATTGTGATTTCCACTGCAGTTGACATCTATGCGCAACTGATGAGTTTTCGCTGGAATAACTCCATAGTCCAGAGACAGAGCCTCTCTCTTTAATTCCTGCGTGTCTTTTCTTTTAGTCTAATGGCAGATTATTAAATTAGTAATAATGTTACCCTAAAATTATATTACAATGACTTTCTGTTTTTTTCCTGTCCTGTTCTTTCCAAACAGTCATGATTGTTTTTTAGGAAACGCTGTATATCTGAGATAGACAAAAATGTCTAGTGCCGTTTATAATGCATTTGGTGTATATATGCCCACTTCCCCACTGTGCAAAATGCCTCTTGACCTCTTGATATAATATAATACAACATAATATAATAAACATAGCTTTTTCAGCTTCTGCTGCAGACCTTTCTATATGTAAAATAGCATTTAATGTAATATAATGCATGTGAAATATAAAAATATAAACAGGTTGCGTATGCAAATATAAACAGGTTTATAAAAAAACATTTAAATATAAAATAGTATTTTATAGTTTGGTAAAAAATAAAAACAGGTCATTTTAATCAATCTACAAAATATTGTTTAATATTTAGATATTTATATTTACCATTTATGTTTAGAATGATAAATGGCATATATAAACGTCAGTTCTGTGCTGAGAACTTGATATCCAAGCTGGTGAAATTGCCTCACTGTATGTGTCGCTGTGCCGATATGAATGAGTTGACTTGTGAATGAATGGAAAATGGCTTTTGTTTACTCAGAAAAAGTTTGGGCAAAGTGAGAGAGGAAAGACGTGTCATACAGAAATAGTGTATGTGAAGGAGGTCAGGTGATTTTAAGAGGATTTACCCAGTAAAAGCTGAAAGCTTAATGCATACCTTTAGGAAAATGATCAGTGCAAAAGCCTGTCACATAGTAAGTGTTGCTGCTTGTTAGAAAGAAAATGAGAGCAGTCTTGATCCACAGAGACCGGTGTGCTCAGAAACACAATCAAGCTCTGAGACTGAAAGACGACAAACAGACGGACAGGGTATGAGTGAACATCTAGTCCAGTGCGACCGAACTAATCGTGACTGATCAGAGTGACCATACCTTGAACTCTGCAGCAGAAAGAGAGAGAGTCTGTAAGTTTAAATGTGCTTGCAGGAGAGGAAGAGGATTGAGAAAGTGTGTGTGTGTGTGTGTGCCGATGAGAGAAAGAGAGCGCAAGAGATCTGGAGCTTGTATGAATTATGCAGGCTGCAGTCTAGAGTGCAGAGTTTTAGTTGAACATGTTCCTTTTTCTCTCATTTGCCTCTGATTTATTTTTCACAGTAACTTCTCCATGTACTCTTTCAAACACACAAAGAACAGAAAGTCGAGGGCAGTCGAGTCGGCGTGTTCACGCCAGATAAAAAGCAGCCCGTATCAAAGGCTCTCAGATACGAAATGGGAAAAATTAATGAACGTATTGATTGCACATTGTTTTAGTATTCCATCGCAAACAGCGGCACATTTACACTCGCAATATTATTGCTTTTCCCTCACTGCAGTGTGTTAAACATTCCTGCACAACCCCTGAAGACATGAAGACATGAATAACATCAGAGGCGGTGTCACAGAAACAGCCCCACCTTCTGGTCAGATTATGGTAATGCAGGCAAATCTCCCACTGGGGGAGAGCAGCCCATATAGAGGAAGCTGGTGCTTTTTAATCTAAAGTGTATAGATGCTGTATGAAGTTGTATTATAGAAGCAAAGGAGCTTCATAAGAAGCTTATAAAGACAGTGAATGTCCTTTAAGCCGCAGAAGGACAGTTGAAGTTTACCCAGTCACTGAATTATTGAACAGCACTTAGTTTATCTTCAGTCCCTTGACACATGCTCACAAACCTCCTCGGTAGTGGCTTCAAATTGGTACACGGATGCTAACTACACAATCTGTGACAGCAGTTCTCTTTTGCTATCACACTGGATGGAGGAATGAAATTATATCTGTGATATTAAAAACTTCCTGTTTAGGTCATGTGGTACAGCGAGGTTCAAAAGTATGCAGAAATAGTTTTATTTAGCATATTTCTCATTTACAGTAACATTTGTCATGCCATTGCAAATTATATTACCAACACTAGATATTGAGTGAACATTAAAATAAAACAATCACAAATTAATATGAATTGCATAGTATGTTGTACATTGCTCTTTTGCTTTAAAGGTGGGGTAAGCGATTTCTGGTAGCCAATGTTGACATTTGAAATCACCAAAACAAACACACCCCTACCCCAAAAGGGTCTCGCCCCACACATACGTACGCAACCCAGGCAACGATTAGTTCTGTGAAACAAAGCAAAACTAATGTTACACCGTGTCTACACCGGACGCGAGCGGCGCGACAAAATACTATGGAACTCATTATAATCAGTGATGCTGTCTACACCATAGATATATATACATATCTATGGTCTACACTGGATGCGGCACGACACGACAAACCCCCGACCGAAAACTGCTGCTGCGTTCTATTTATGACGTATTGACACAAATTTCAAATGATTTTCAACGGTCGCTTTATGAAGTGTACTAGACCGACTTTAGCTGTTGCGGAGAAGACAAGAAACAAAGCAACCTCGGCGTCCGATCGCAGGCCTTCTGCTCCTTGAGTTCTCTTCAGCGCTGGAAAACTGATCCGATATTTACACAGGTCCTACTTCTTGCCTTATTGCCTTAAGCCTTCTTTGTTCCGCAGATGTTTTCCTCTTGTTTTTTATCCGCCATCTCTATCTTTCTGTCGCTCGGCTCGGCTAATGTCCGTCCTGTGCACTGAACGCTCTCTCCTCCACATCATGAGTGGACACGCCCCTTACTGCTGATTGGCTACAAGTTTGTTATGCTACTCGCCCCGAATTCGTTTTCTAAAGCATTTTTGAAAAATCGCTTACCTCACCTCTAATGATGGAATGCAAAAATCTGAAAAATTCAATCTTTTGCATTCAATTAAACTGAAAGCTTTTCTTAGCAATTAATATTATCCGCATGAGAAGCTACAAGTTTGTTATGCTACTCGCCCCGAATTCGTTTTCTAAAGCATTTTTTAAAAATCGCTTACCTCACCTCTAATGATGGAATGCAAAAATCTGAAAAATTC